AGATTGCATGCTTTCTAACGATATTCATCCACTTCCAATATTGAAAACAGAACAAATGGATACAGCCCTGACTTTGGAAGTTTCCAATACCCATAGGATGGATTCTATTAGTATATTTAATATCAAATGGTTGTTCAAAGTTCACATAACCGAAGTTAATATATTAGACTTTAGAAGGTCAGATCCTATGAACCTTTGAAATACAATAAAACAAAACTATGACTCCACTGGTCTCTAGAATGAAAGCATTTTCCTGACACAGAGGGATGAAGAACAGAGAATTCCATTTGGATAATCACAGAAGATAAACCAAAAGGTAAACTTCTAATAGTTTTAAAGGCTTCTAGTAGCTTCCATACCACCTAAGCCATTTTTCTTTGAAATGAAAGAAAAATTAATTAGGTTTTCACTCAGTTAATAGATATTCATAACATTTTCTAACTGCATAGAAATGACCATAAACAAGTCAACATGCTGCTGGGCAAGCAGGTGTTCCATATGTGTTGATTCCCTGGTAACAGGAAGAGGAATGCCTACCCAGGGGATGCATGGAGCCTTAGCTAATAAACTCATGGTCATGGCCTCAAGCTGTCGGTCCACAAAACAACCTGTCTTCTTTCAGAATCTACCAGCTTTCGGGATAGGAAACATTTTTAGAGTAGAAATATTCTCGTTTGTGAAACTAAAATAAATGCTCAAATAGAAAGTTTGTTTTCTATCCCCTCCCTAATTAAGTTGCTAAAAAGTGGAGGAAAATTTGATTGTGAGATTTTTCTGTGCAGAAAGAGGATTCTCACACTATCTTACCAATCAAGCTCAAATTTCTGTTACAAATTGAAAAGAAAATGGTTGGTTTTTTTCCTTAAGGAGTTAAGCATCTACAAATACCTTGCATTTCAGTCTCTCCACCATTTACTTTCAGGTCGTTCTTTGCTTTCCACTATGCTATCTCTGTCAATCTCAAAAGGAAAATATACCAACATTCATAACCATGTGTGCACTGGCTAGTGAGTAGGCATACATTTTCCATGAACACTCAAGCATTGCTTACATTTGCATGGATCTGCAAGCTCCTGCCAGGCGAAATAGCCATGGTCACATTCCTCTTCTGACGCGCTGACCTGTGTTGATTAAGTGTCCCAGATAATGAGGTGGAGCTTACATCAGCAGGACTAAATGGTTCACGCTATCCAAGTGTTTGCATTCTCTTGTAGAGGCTCCGTTTCGAATCTTCAGATGAGTTTCTGGACCACCCATGGTGTTACAGCACCTTTTCTCACCCTCAGTTGACACCTACAGAAAAGGGCGGGCTGTTGGCTCTTTTTTATTTTCCCGCTTCTGCCTTTCCGTGATTAGCCTTCACATAGCACTCAGAAAGGGACGACAGGGATGCAAGGACTGAGTTTGAAACCTTGCCTTCCTGACTGAGTACCTCTCTCCTCTCTCATCAGTGTGTACTAATAGCATGTTTGACCTCTGTCTAAATGAGCACAGGGAAAAGTACAAAGATTTGGGAACTCTGATACACCTGTGCAACCCCAGGACCTTGTTTATACAGCTCTGGGATGTGTAGTTGGCAATCTAAGGGCAGATTGTCTAGGAGCTCATCCCCTGCCCTGCAAGGTCAGGATGCAGTGCAGATGTGTAAGGCTTCCATCCCCCACCTGCAATGGGCACTGAGCATCATTTGTACTTCTTCATGAATAGCCTCAGCTTAGCCACTTAGACAATAACGCTGAGGGAACTTCTTCCAGTTTTCCAGAAAGGGACACTCTGGATGAGCTCTTATGCTCTCGGGAGACTCTAAACGAGGCTGACACAAGGATTGTTCTGCTGAACAGTCTGGAAAGACAAATTGTGCAAGAGAACTTGTTCCGTTTCACCCTTTCCTCCTCTGCTACTTCTGCTTTGTTTAACATTTTTGAATATTTAATACTATGCTAATTTTTCCATTCCATGTCATTTATATTCTGCAGAAACCTTTGCAAAAGTCATTTTTACCAATAGTCAAAATAAATGATGGTGTCATTTGGGACATTTGTATTATTTAGGATTATTTTAAACCTCAAAAACTTGTTTTTGTTTTTGTTTTTTCCTCTATTGACTTTTTTGTTTAAAAGTAATGACAAGGTAAATACTGCATTGGTCTTTTGTCTTTTCAAATTCTAATTGTAGGTAGAAAGAGAAAAATAAAATTTCACTGTACAAAGATTAGTCAGATTGGCATGTCATGATTGCATTGGCAGCATTCTTTGGACATTGGTCAAGTACAATGTAGTTGAGACAGTGTTATCCAAGAATTCAAGCACAGAGGGTCAGAATTTGTGTGTGTGTGTGTGTGTGTGTGTGTGTGTGTGCGCGCGCGCGCATGCGCGCGTGTGTGTAAAACCAGTAATATTATATATTTTTATATATGATATATATTAAATGTATTTTTTATTACTGGTCTATAGTTTAACTTTCTGGTTTTTCTCTTAGTCTCAGTCTTCTGATCACAAATAATAGGTCTTTCCTTGTGGCTATTCTGTATATGAAAAATGTCTCTGAACTTTAAAAGCAATGAGAAGACTCTTTGCTAAGTCTGGATTTTCATAAGGATGTAATGGCATCAGTAAGTGTGGGAGGGGGAAGCATGGGAGCAGCGGCAGGTGAGCTAAGGACTCTAAGGCAGATGAGATATTAAGGGAACCTTAGCCCTGTAACCTACTGCCTCCCTCCACCTACAGCTCCATTATCAGCACATCCTCACCACCCATCCCAGTGGTCCAGCCTCAGCTCCAGGCTCACCCTGATGCAGAGCTAGAGAAATCACACCAATGCAGAGTGACTGTAGGACAGCTTAACTCCGTGTGACATAGGACAAATGTGCTGCCAGCAGAAGGTATTCCCATAACATATCCAGGGTCAATCCAATTGGGATCAAAGTCACACCAAGAAAGCTGAAAAGAGAAGTTCGCTATCAAATGCTCCACAGCTCCAAACCTCAGCCAGCTCAATGAAACTCATAGGCAGCGTGCTGCTGAGTTGGAGAGATTCTTGCTGCATTTGCCATTGGGTTCAAGTCATTCCCATATTAATGATACTGGCTACCGTTTTTACAGCCGCAGACACTCTCTGCTACATCTTAACAATATTAACGAAAACACTGGCTGCCTGTTATTATTATATTTAATTGAAACTGAAGAACTAGCTGATGTAAACGCCAAGTATGGCTTGGAAAAAAATCTAACATCCTCAAGTATGTAGTCAGCTGCCATATATGCCTTCATTTAGGAAAAAAAAATGCCACAAACCCAGAATATACAAAGAAAACTGATTCTCAACCCAAGTTTTACTTTATAAGCATAATTTTTCTCAAATGCATCATATTTGAAAGTATATTCTCTTCTCCAGAGGCCACAGAGAGGAATAATCTTTTAACTTTATCTAGAAATGTGTTTAATAAATGTTGATTTGATTTGGGACATTTGTTTTTAAAAATATGTGTTCTTAAACCGAGCAGTAGTGGTGCACCGCCTTTTATCCCAGCACTCAGGAGGCAAAGGCAGGCGGATCTCTGGGAGTTCGAGGCCAGCCTGGTCTACAAGAGCTAGTTCCAGGAACAGCTAGCTGGAGCTGTGACAGAGTGACACCCTTTCTCAGTGTGTGTGTGTCTGTGTGTGTGTGTGTGTGCGTGTGTGTGCGTGTGTGTGCGTGTGTGTGCGTGTGTGTGCGTGCGTGTGTGTGTGTGCGTGTGTGCGTGTCTGTGTGCGTGTGTGTGCGTGTGTGTGCGTGTGTGTGTGTGTTTGATTATTTCCATATATGACTTTGATAGTAGAGTGCTTTAACTAACCAGTAAAGCCATGGCAGAACTCCATGACAATCACTGCGGTGTCTCCCCAGGTCACAGTGGGCGATTGCCATGCAGTTGTCTCCTTGTCCCCATGTGCCTCAATTCCATTTTATAGGAAGATCCTGCTGAGATACCAAGAAGAACAAGAGGACAGCCATGCTCCTGGAACTCCTCCCAGCCTCCCTCTCTAACTTTAAAAGGGAATAGTTACTAAGTGGGAGATGCAGCATCACCGTAAGGGGGAAGCAACAAACTGAAGGCCAAGGCTTAAGGGTCTAAATCATCTCTCAGCTAACAACTCGGGGATCGTTTCAAACTTCACTTAGCCCTTTTACAAGCTGCTTACTTCCTCATCTATAAACATATGAGGCTGGACTAAATCTCCCAGGCCTCTTCGAGTTCCCAAACCCCATAATTCAGAGTGCCCATAAAAAAAATAAATGTAACTCCGGATGCTCATTTTCCAAAAGTGGAGCAGTAAAGGATCTGGTCTATTTCATTAGCAAATACCAGAAAGTACCCAGAACTTTGTGGGTGCTTAATAAATATAAAACGCTGATTTTACCTTTCATCTGCGAAATAGGGTGAGTAATGCTGACTTAATTCCCAGAATTTCATGTGAGAAATAATAAATGAGAACAAAGCACTTTTCAGATAATGAAGTAAACCAAACAAGCTGCCTTAATAGGTCTGAGGTCTGGGTGGATGGCACGAGAGCAAAGTGCCTGTTTTATTATTACGTCTGCGGAGCACAACAGGGTTCTCTCCACTTTAAGAAGAAACAATAATTGGGCTTGCTGATCACCCACAAGCCAGTTTGGGTAGTTTCTATGAAAATGGGTTCTTCATGTGAATTTAGCATTTATCACTCGTAACCAAATCAAGGTTTCTATCTCCACCTGATGTCAAAAGGAACTTGGCATGAGTTAACCAGTGTAGGGAAGCATTCCATCAGCATCATAGGACTCTGTCCGAAGAAAAAGCTTCCCAAAATTACTGATCAACTATACAGATGAGGAGATTACAATTTTAATAATCCTTATACTCAGAAATGAATGCAATTCAGATATTGTTACTAAGGAAAATGATACATTGCATTCTGCTTTCATGGTGTATTGCATATTGCTAAAGCCTTTGTCTAATAAATTTTATGTATTTATTTTTATAGTGTTCCAACAAAAGGCAGCCAGAAGACAATCTGATGGTGATAAGTTCTACAGTCTCCCCAAGAAGCCAGGTATTTTGTTAAAGTCAATCGATTTAATAATCTAAATAAGATTTGAAGGGATTCTTGGGAATATGCATAAAGTCTCATAGGTCAAACATAAACAACTGAGCTTGATTGATTTTGCTTTGAAGTTTGTATCTTATTGCAAGACAGCTCTGCCATAATGAAATCAATGCAATGTAATCAATTTAATTAGCAAAAGCAGAAAATATCCCTCGTCGTATTACCTGTGGTGATGCTATCAGTGCACCAGGAAGGAGAAATAAGACAAATTCCAGAACATGCATCAGAGCCCCTCCTTTTATAGATATGTAAAATGGGGCCTCCAGTAGAATAGCTCAGGTACTTTTACCCAAGTAGAACTGGGTGAATGGGCTATGGATGCCAATCAAAAATCAAACCATTTTCCCAATATAGTCTTATCTTGAGCATTTGATTCAACACATTGTGAACAATAATTTATCACGCAGAGTAGAGCTACAGACTACTATAGTCACACACATGGTTCGAACAGGTGGAACATTTTTGTTTCCAGTATTCACTGGGATATTGGTCTTTTTTCAAGGATAGACTCTAGAAGACTATTGATTGCAATTCTTTTTCATTAATCAAGAATAAATAAATGCTCAAATAAAGAAAAACAACATAGAAGGCCGTTGACACAGGACTTAGGGTAGCTGGCTTTGGCAATCAATGAGCGTATGCAGTGGTACCTTTGAAATAACTTCAGCCCCAAATTATGTCACCTTGAAACTGGTAACAGGTAATTATTGAGAAAGAGACATTGAAATAAAGCCACAAAATCACTTCACAGCAGCCCCCATTTGCTGCATCTCCTTTTGTGCCACTGAAGAGGCAAGGGTCAGGATGTACCAACTTTTAACACTCACAGAACAGTATTCAGCAAAGAACCTCAGTGAACCTGCTCTTAGGATGCTGTGAGTGGTCCCATGTCAATACTGTATTCTTAGATTAATGACTACCGCTCATCACTTCAAGTGGCATTTCTCATGGCAGCCTTTTTGTACTTAGATTGTCTAATGATTAGGATGCATGGTGCTTGAACACAATACTTGAGGAAGGTGAACCTCTATTCTTCTATGAACTAGTTAGACATACTGCTTGCAAATTTATATGCAAAATACCACTCTCATTAAAGAGCAATTCTCCATTTTTTTAAGTATGAGTTTGATAATTTAGCCATGCCATGGTTTAGATGTAAAGTGTTCCCCACAAGTTCCTGGGCTTCAACACTTGTCTCCAACTGCTATATGGAGGCAACAGAGAGTGAGCCATAGCTAGTGAAAAGAGACAGTATGGGTGGGCTTTCAGGTTCATAACCAGCCCAACTTTTGGCACAAACTCTCTCTACCTCTTGGTATTCTGAGATGTGACGAACTATACTACAAAGTCCTGTAATCACAAACTCCTCTGCCTCAGCACCCATCCATGCTTTTCCTACCATGGGAAACTAGGAGCAAGCAAAAAGCCTGTTCTCCCTCCACTTACTTCTGTTGGGCATTTTCAACAAGAAAAGTAATTAATAAAGAAAGTTGGTAGTAAAAGTAATGTGCCTCTAGTAAACCTGACCATACACTTCATAAGCCTTTGGAACTAGGAAAAATGTGGAGGAGTTTAGGGCTGCAAGCCAGAGAAGCCCTGGAGTGCTATCCAGGGAGATTAATGAGACTTCCTGGTGGGAGTACAGAGACCGTAAAGTTGATAGAAATACAGACAGAAAAGGCCAGGCTGGTGAGGTTTTAAGCAGAGGCAAGTGATTGAACTAGAGGACGTTCAATTCATGAAGCATTCTGGCAAAGCAGCCACACATGTCCTGAAAATGTAGGTGAGCCTGAATTCAAAAGTAATGAACCAAGTTGATTGGTGGAGGAAATTTCGAGGCAACATCATGGAGGTTGTCGCATATTTGCTCCGTGTCTTTGGCAAGGAAATTCAGTCACACATGCACTTAGCAACCACAGCCATGATCTAAGTGGGCCAGCATGCATCTTGACCTAGAAGCAAAACTCAGCATTGTTTTCTATCTAGAGCTGATGGAGTGACAGGCAGCAGAATGTAAGAATCCAGAGTTCTACAAGTCTGTACTAAGGTTCCAGAAAGGCCCTCAGGTCACACACTGTGGAACAGAGTTCGAGTACCTCCATAGTAGAACCCCTAAGAAAGCTATGTGTGGGTACAAAGGTGAAATCTAAGTTGGAATGTAGACCCAAGGGTGCTGGAGGAACAAGGAGTGTGGAATGTCTTCCAAAAGAGCCTACAGCCACTGAGAGGATCCAGGTCACATAAGAGGCCATGTGTGCTGATCCGTAGGAGCTGATCCATAGAAGTGGGTCTCAGCTGAGAGGTTTGATATTTGCCCTACTGGGTTTCAGTATTGCTTTGCTCACAATTTCCCTACTGTCCTCCCTCTCTTCCCTTTTGGAGTCAAGTGCATTGTCTGTTGGAGGTATCCAACTTGCTCTTTGACATTTACAAAGGCTCACATCTGCGAGTTTGCCTTGAGTCTCAGAAGAGACTTTGTAATTGTGAACGGTATTAATACTGATGCAGCTTTTGAAGTTGAATTGATTACAATTTGTGTTCATCAATAGCTACTGGCCAGTAAGGCATTAGGGCCAAATGTTGCCATGTGGATATAGAATGTTTCCCCGCAGGTCCCTAATTGATTGTGCTGTTTGAGAAAACTGTAGAAACTTGAGACCTAAAATCTTGTAAAACTTGGCTAATGGAGGTAAGGACGTTGGGATAGGTATAGCCTTTGGTGATTGGACACAACCCTACTTCCGAACTAAGCTTTTTCTACTTCCCTGTTTTCTGAAATACAATAAATCATGACGTATGTATGTCCTTGAGCCACACTTCAGCCACCATGCCTTTCCTCCCATGATAGACCTTACCTCCTCAACCTCGAGCAGAAAATAAACCTTGCATCTTGCCATTTGTTTCTGTCACAGTCATTAAAAGGTAGCTACCATAAGGATGGATCATGGACCTTTGAAAGTCTGTTTGTTGTCCCTTTGCCTTGCCTTTATGTCTCTCAGGAAAGAAATGTAAAGCTTCAAGGAAGGTCTTCGTACATTTAGGAACCCAATAGTTCTTAAAGATTTAAACAAAACTGATTACTCCCATCTGGACTCCCACACATAACTCAAAGTTTTATAAATAATAAAGAGAGGAGGTGGGTGTCTTGAGCTCTTTCAGAGAAAAAAAATTCCTAAGTATTTCTTATTATAAATTATTCAAATATCATGGTTATAATTCAATTCTGTTAGCACTGAAGGTAAGATCTGGAAATGTCAGGATTTCTCCTTTCACAGGAGAAAGAAGATGGTAAAGACGTGGGGAGCACCTGTTCTTAGCAGGTGGCCATCTGTCTATCCCACAGAAGACAGTTTAAGAAGAGCTGAGGGTTTCCCTTGAACCTAGAAGGACTGATTTACATTCCATGGTGTATACAAAGAAACAGTTTCTATGCTGGGATAAAAGGCTAGAGAGAATGACGGAAGGAAAGACATTCTACAGTGAACCCTATTGATAATGCAATGGTTTATTATTTTATACACTTGGACATATACGACTTTTGCTTCACTAAAGGCACTTTGTCTTAGTCTTTTTAAAAGCATCTCTGGAGTCTCAGATACCAAAAAAAAAAAAAAAGTCATGTTATTTGATTTTTTTTTCATTTGGATTGTTGGATCCAACTTATTTGTAGCATTTTAAATTAGTCACAGTAGGATATTCCTTTACTTTGAGAAATCAAGAATTTACCAGAATAGAACAAAATATTGTGCTACTTCTAAAAGTAAAAGAACATTAGATCTTAGGAAGTTTCTGTTGTGTTTTTTTCCCAAATCTGATAACTATAACCTCCAGGAAAATCAGTTTTCGGCATGATCAAAAAAATGATAATTAGAATCTTCATAAACATCCCGGGTACTTAGAAGGTGGTTATATCAGTAAGAATTTTCTTCAATGTAACAAAATGTCTGAGCAACCAAGCTGGGAGGCAGATTTATGTGGTCCATGGTTTCAGAGGTCTCCCTCCTTCATGTGGGAAGGATTGACAGAGCAGAGCAGTTTATGTCATGGCTGCCAGGAAGCAGAGAGCAAGCCCTGCTCCTCCCAGATTTCCTGTAAACTTTGTAAAATTGAAATCCCGCCCCTAAAACAGCACCCACACCTGAGAAGCCAGTGCGCAATGTGCGATCCTGTGAGGAACATTTCACATTCAAACCATCCAGCCATTTTTCTTGAAGCTGTTTTGGCATTATGGAAAAGGACTGCTTCTTACCGTTCTCAGAGCATCCTTCGGCTATCCTGGGATCTCATCAGGTCATAGGAAAACAGTAGATGCGTCTCCAATGATGATGTCTGTGGAAGATAAAGGGGGGGGGGGGCGGGGTGTGAAATGTTCATGAGTTAAGATTTTCTAGGGGACCCAGAAAACTCCCTAAGAAAGGGTTAAATAATGTGTTTCTTCTACTGTGTACTGGAAGGGAAAAGAACACAGAAGAGCCAACTATTTCCCCCACGGAAAGCGAAAGCATTCCAGAATCTCTAAGTTGAAGATTGCCAAGGGGTTGCCAGGAAGCTACATTATTGCTGAGCCAAGGAAGTTTCCTGAGGAACAGAAAAAAAAAAAAAAAAAAAAAAAAAAAACTACCACGGAATTAATTGGCACCATTTCTGTGGGAACTCAAAGGAATTCCTGGACTCAGATTTTACGTCTTGAGAAAATATGAAGGGAAAGCGCTAAGGACTGGGGAATCACAGGTAAAAGTTTTCATCAAAATGCAGTTCTAGAGTCAATTTTCCCAATTTGGTTTCAAAATCAAAAAATGCCAGAGAATGATGCCACAGATAGAAAGTGCTTCCAGTCTACTCCATTTCCTCCCTGAGCCCTGGGAGCAGCCAAAGGCATGTTCATCGTAGCCACAAACCAGGGGACTAGGTTCTATTGGTGTGTTTGGAGCCTGCAGAGGTTCTGAAGTCAGAGTTTTGCTAACCACACTCACCGAGGACCGATTCATTTATGAGATTCTCACTAGAGGAGCGTTTCCGCGTCCCTTGGGTGTAAGCCAAACAACAAACATCCCAATTAAATAAGCTTGTAGGTATCAGGCAAATGGACTATGATGGAGAGGCTACTACTTCAAGGACATGGACACAAAATTAAATAATATTCTCAGATCGCAGGTTGTCTGTTTCCTAGACTTGTTTCTGTTGGACGTTTCTTTCCATGTCAAGACCAACTCCATTTTCTGTCTCCACTATTGCTTTACTGCAAGTAAGAAACACAGCAACCAATGAGCTGAGGCATTAACAAAGTGCCTCCCTGATCATGACAATCACCCATAATCTGTGTGCTTCACAGTTAATTAATGGACCACATGAAGGATGTTCTGTTGCTGTACGTCAGGATAAACCATAATTTACAGGGGCATGTTGGTAAGCGTATGCCCATCCTAACCAAATGTTTAGGGCAGACACCCCCCCACACACACAGAGATTTTGATGAGGATGAGAACTTCCAATTTTTGGTTGCCTAAACCTTATTCATATCAGGTATATAAATATAAAATTACATATATATTTGCCACATACAACCTTCACATTGTAATTCTTTCCATGTAGATTTTTTTTATGTTTGATATACATTTCTTTAAAGTCATAATAATTCAATCTGAAAGAGTCTTCATGCTAATGAGAATTATTTCAATGTATTTAATAAACAATCACTAAGACATTGCTTCGTGACTTTGTGCTTGCCTTCTATGGGCTTATAGCTTTGGAACCCCTGGCATGGTCTCAGCCAAACGACAGCCTCGTTGCAGGCTTGACTTTTGGTGGGGTTTGAATGCCCATGGAAAAGATTCAGTCAGGGCACATATTTTTATGTGTTCTCAGAGTACACCGTGCTGGGTAGTTTGATTAATGTTAAATAATAAAATTGTCTTTAAGCAGGAGACCCGGGGAAGCAGGGAAGGGATCACTCTGATGTGGGGAAAGAGACTTCTGAGCCCTGTGGCGTTTCCGTCAGGCTGTTCTTGCCAGCTCTAGATATATTAAATAGAAAAGCGGGGAAACTGTCAACGTGTGGTCATTTGTATTCCATAAAAAAATAATGGCTTCAGCGGCCTTTCCCAGTATAACTTATATTTTCATTTGTCATATTGCTCACGAAAGGGCATTTTTTCATTGTTAAAGTTACACCTGAAAATATTTTGTTCAGTTTCTGAGTTCTTGCCTAAAATGGACTGTGCTGGCAGAGTGTATTGCAACTTCTGTCAGAAATGAAGGCAAAACCTGAGAGATACAGAATCCCTAATAATAATAAAGACAGAAACTAAAAATTGCTTGGAAGAATCTAGGGCTAGTACCAAATTTTGGAAAATGATTGATTAAAAAAAAAAATCAATGTCAATAGTATACCCCTGAAGCCTGTATTTGTCTTGTTATCTAACAGCAAGGCCTACTAAGTCCTTTGTTTTCCAAGTTTTAGTAAAAAGTGTCCTAGTCAGTCACTCCCTACCAGGAATTCAGTGCAACACTTTCTGACCTGTTCTACAAGTCAAGAAGATTGAGTATAATAGGTTACTTGTTGCTTTTGTGGACATTATTCAAATCAAATGAAAAAATATTAAAAAGAAAAATTAAAGGGAACCAAACCATTCATCTGTCTTGAGGCTTTTACAGTAAAACTGACCAACAGCAGTTTCAAACATGCAGCTAGCAGGATGACAAAAGCTTTTTGATGAAAACGACATAAAGGTCATACTAAGTCTTCTAAAAGTAAACAGAAACAGAAAGTTTGGATGGAAGAAACACCTGCCCTTACAACCTACATGAACTGCTAACCTTAATGCCATAAAAGAGCCTATCAGCATTGCCAAGGTTTGCGGGTCCTACATTTAGAATAATGAGCCTGCCTTGAATGAGAAGGTAGTAAAGTTTCCAGATCATTTTTCTTTGGAGTTTGTCATGCTTAATAATAATTGATCAAGCCAGGTGCTTTATTATATTTTGTATGAGAAGGAAAAGCAGGTTTGTGGAAAATTAGTTTGTCCACAAGGTTTTTTGTTGTTGTTGTTGTTGTTTTGTTTTTTTGGGTTTTTTTTTGTCTCACTTTTAGGACTTGAAACTGGAGACTTTTTGTGAATCTTTTTGTTTTGTTTATGGGATTGCAAAGGACCAAATCGTATTTCTTTCTGCACTGAGGTCATCTTATTTACAATTTAAAAGTTAAGAATTTGAAATGAGATGGGGTCATTGAAATGAATATTGTTAAAAGGATTCAGTTCTTTATTAAATTGTATGTGTGGGGGTGAGGGGGTCACAGTATGTGTGTGGACTTTGTGGAGTCCTTTCTGTTCTACCTTACATGGGTCTCAAGGGTCAGATTCATGTGTCTAGACTTGGTGGTAGGTACTGTTACCTAACAAGCCATCTCAGCACCCCCAGATGCAGTGTTTTAATTCAGTGAAACCTTTATGTGGAGCAGGATTGCAATTGACACCTTCCTAGGAATGGTTTCCTGGATATACCTTCTGCGAACACGGAAGATGCAGCTGCAAGGGTTACTTGAGATAAAAACGGATTCTGGCTTGGGTCAAAGGATGGCAGAAGTGCGGTGATGACTAAATGGTATAGCTTTTAATAGCGATGCTCTCCTCCTGCTCTGGCGGGATGGCACGTAGATGCCGCAGGACCCTGCATCTCAGGAGCTGAATTTGTGTGGAAGCCTACACATAGTGAAGGGTAGGAAAAGCAAGATCTCGACAGCTCTTTGTGCTTCTTGCTGCTCAACCAGTTAGCCCGCTGACTGGCTTGCACTCTCCATTTCTCCAGGGATTCTGTGTTCGGTCATCCATCTAGGAAGATTTAGAGTGTAGGATTTGTTGACATCTTATTAGTTCTGGGGCAATAAACTTCTGAAAAGGGAAGGAAGTCCCTCCAGGAAACCAGAATGGCTGGTCATGGAGACGATTTAGATGCAAGGAAACCATACAGCAGACTCCTAGTTCCTAGTCCTGGACTCACTGGGAGAGACTCTCTCAAGTCTAAAATGGGCGTTAGCAGTCAGCCCACACAGTCTAGGCTTGAGCACCCTTCGGGTAATTAAAAGGACTGCCTAGAGCTTAAAATGTCTTTCTTCCAGGAAAAAAAATCATTTTCAATTCCATCAGTGACCCCACTGCTAGACAGGAGCACCACTCCCCCCATCTTCCAAATCTTTGATGCTATGTTTGAGTGATGGTCCAGTTTCTTCCATTTTTGAAGAATGCCCAGGGCTAGGTAACCAAATACTAGCTGAACACTTTTCTGTCCTTCTGTCCTTCTGTCCTTCTGCACTGGGCATATTCAGAAGTAACAGCCAGTTGAGAACGTGCTTCTCCTGAGACATTGCAATGAGTATGCTGGACTTGATGGCAATACATAAAAGAGAAGTTGCAATCTCACCTGAGTCCCGAGCCCAAATATGTTGCCACTTGGTGACAGGGATTGAGGTGATCTGCAAAGACCATAGCCTCCCCCAGAGACGTGTGGGTCTACTCATGTCCTTGGATACGACAGTGGGGAAATGAATTCCCCTGTATCCTGCCAATAGGCTCCCCACTCCGGACTCCATGTCTCACGCCAGCCTCCAGTGTTCCATTGGCACCCACACAGAACATGGGGGCCTCTGATCTGTGCTACACAAACAACACATGGTAACTTCCAGATCGTTTTCTTTTGGAGAAGAAAGCATTACATTACAATGAGAGTATGTGTTTACTTCCATCTTCCAGGAATAAGGTTTTAAATGACCCTAAGTCTTTTATGACATTTACATCTTTCGCTGAGACCTCTTTTCTCAAAATTAGAGATAGAAACCTTTTCTCAAAAAAAAATGTTTAATATTAATGACATTTATATGCGGCAGGCGCTAGATTAAGTCATTTTTCGACCTAATCTTCTTATAATTGACTGTATTGTTACTTTCAGAAATTTGTGAGAGACTGTAGGAGAAATGATACTTGTGTATAGTGTGTTATGACCAAGGTAGGGAAGCTAGCAGTTATTTCTCCATGGATCCTTAAAATAATTAGAGTAATTCTGGAACGATGTGTACATACATTGTGTACTGATCAGATCAGGAATTAATGTTTCTGTTTCATTATCATCGCTTTATGTGTAGAAGCTCCGGCCTCCTCTCCTTCAGTGGCTCATAAAGTGCACAGCGGGTTATTGCATGCTATACTCACCCCGTCGCTGTTCTGTAGAACACTAGGATGTGTTCCTTCTCTCTAGCTGTGTGCCCCTTCCTCAACCCCCACGTGTCCCTCCTCTCCTCTACTTCCCAGCAGGTAGCTCTGTGAATTAGATCTTCCGCCTGATCTCTGCAGCAGTCTCCGACGGGAGGAAACCTGCAGGTCTTTTTCATGCTGCGTCTTCGTTTATTTAACATGGTGTCTGCCGTTCCATTTGTACTTTGGGGTCTGTTTTCATATTAATTTTAGTGTTTTCCTCCAAACATATGAAAGATGTCCTTGTATTTTGATGACTCTATTGAACTTGAAGATTTTTCTGATTTTGTATGAAAATTTTATAGCATTCTTTCTTCCAATCCATGGACAAGCGTGGACTTCTCACCCTATAGTGTTTTATCTATAGTTTATATTAGACATTTCGCAATTCCATTTGCATGGGTCTTTTAGCTCTTTATTTATCCCTTCGTATCTCCCCACACACTTTGTAGCTATTGTCATGTAATTTGTCTCCTAAAGTCCAAGAGCTTATAGTCTAGAGTCACTTATGTTCTTACTGGGTCCCTTGGGCCTATGAGGCAACAGTCCCCATTGCTAGTGTGATAGGGGATCTGTGAGGTACCGAATATTGGAATACGCACAGGTCTTTGACCCCTAGAGGTCAGTATAATTCAGGCAGTCGCTGCCTTCACAGGATGACATCATGCCACAGAAGGGTGGACCCTGGAGATCAGTGATGAGATAGGAGTTCTTCCTCCAATGAAAAACCACTGTGCAGGCTCTGGGTTACTTCCCTAAATGATCTTCCTGCTGATGGACAGGGAAACTTTCCAGGAGCTGAGTTGGCAGCGTCTGTGCTAATGAGCTTCTTCCCTGCTTTCCTCTGAAAAGGGTTTCCCTTCCCCACGGGGCAGGCGGGGTTACAGGTGCTGGCTCCTCCTGCTCTCATTCCATTTTGCTGTCTCAGCTTCCATTTTCTGCTGGGATGAATTTCATGGCTCTCTGGCAGTCGCTTACCTCAAGTGCAGCTGCCATCTTTTGCAATTGCTCCCTTTGGGAAGAGGAGGCAGACCCCGTGCTCCTCTAGGTACTGTCGAATGCCCATCCACATGATCTCATTTTACTTCTCATAAAAAATGGGGGAGGTGGTACTTCCTACAAATAGTACATCATTTTTACTTGGCCCTAATGTTTTAAGTGATAAAATGATTCTTTTCCCCTTTATGTTAGAGTCTATGTACCACCATCCTTAAAAGGAAATATATTAAAAGATGTTTCTGCTGTCTAAATGTAGTGCCACAAGCCTGAGATCTTAGTACTTTGGAGGCAGAGGCAGGAGGATCTCAAGTATGTGTGATGTTCTTAAGTTATATAGTAACAACTTCTCTCAAAAATAATGAAACAAAAATTTTATGCTAGCCCATTCTTCAACTCTGAATATATGGTTAAGAGCAAGAAAATTCAACGAGTTCTTATGTAGCATGACTTTGTTCCAGTGTTTCAAACGTTAATTTCTTACTAAAACACCCTTGTCTTGTATCATAGACAAAGCTCGGATGGAAGGTCCAACCTTCTCAAGTACAAAGGGTTATCTGACCACTGGGCAGGAAGAACTGATCCTTGGGCAGGAGGAACTGATACTCCTGCAGGAGAAAGTCAAGAATGGGAAAATGTCTGTGGATGAAGCTCTAGAGAAATTTAAACGTTGGCAGATGGGAAAGAGTGGTCTGGAAATCATGCAACAGGTAATACGATCTTCTAGAATATTCCTTCCCCTATATATCCCATCTATTCTTTAAGTGTTTAGTCTTCAGAAGACACAGAGACAACCATGCTTTTGTTTTTAACTAGACACTAAAAAGATGTTTGAAGCAATCAACTAAATGTTTGAAGATAATAGCCAAAGTTTCACTAATAAGTTCATTTATGTGAACTCACTATTGGAACTCGTACATCAAAACTGCTTATAGTTCCTGCCCTGGGTACAAAGAACATTTTGTTTAATCTTCTTGCTGAAATGAAGATGAAGCAGTCTCACAGTAACAGCTGCTCAGCATGCTAAAACATAGCATAGACCAGGCTTAAAGGGACAAAAAGTAGCTGGCGACACATCAAGCATTTAGTCCTAAGTGTGATTCATTTTAACTTCTTTTTCCTTATAAACTATGCCACCTTGGCTGTTCTCAGTAAGAAGTATCTGCTCCATGGTCTACTTATCTCATAGGTTCATACTCCCAAAATATTTAAGGGTTCTATTCTTTCTGCGGCAGGAAGCCTACTTGCCTCAGAACCCAGTTTTGATGCAGCTGCTTGATTAAACACATTTAATAAGCCAAGTTCGGACAAAACACAGGGAGCTAATATTAACTGAATATTCTACCTCTACCAAGAGATCATTTTTTTATTTTAAAAGACAATGTAGTTTTTAACAATAAAAAAATGAGTCACTAGGATGAAGTTTCAAACAATGTGACACATGGGCCAAAGCAGCGTAGGCGAGAGGACTTTCCAAACACATCTGAGATCAGAGCTTGTCAGAAACCACCCACCTACAGGGGCAGATTCGGTTGCCAGTTGGTGGCTGAGATGGTCCAGGTTTCACAATACTAATCAAAGGCAATTGTTTTTTTTCCTAAACAAATGCTAAAGAAAATGGAGGGTGGAGTTCCACACGTGTGCTGTGCCCATGAGCAGAATGATAACGCTGTGTCTCCATCCTTACCATTGCCATCACCTTCACAGTCATTCTATTCCTAAAATGGAGCAACATGTGTTTAGTTTCAAGCCCATGCAACTCATTCTGCTCCCAGGAACTACATACACTTTATCCTTCTCAATCCCTTAAAAGATAAAGATTTCAATGCAGTTTCGTGTGCTCCAGCTTTTTAGAAATGCCTTACCTAGTCATTTCTTGAAACACTTAGTTGCTTGTTTTGTTTGTGAGTTTATATTCATGAGGAAGGATTTAAGACATCCACACATGTGTGCACCACTCTCCAATATTTTATATGCTTTTCAATATTTCTCTCCTGGCTACAAACATATTCATTTGTATCCTGGAAATGAATTTGCCAGCAGTTGTTGGGACATGGTATGCCTGGTGGAGGATTGTTCTGAGGAAAATGACTCATTTTCATGTATGTAGCCAGAGTTTGAAGAGCAGGGAAGAATCACATCACATAGACTCCCCAGCCCTAAAGATGAGGTGGTGCCAAAACTAACGGCCTTGCCTCTCACCTTCCCTCCTTGGCATGCCCAAGGCACCTGGCTCCACTCAGAGGGGAACATCTGCAAAGCCATGGAAATAACCCCCAGGAAAGAGGCCTTCCTGAAGGGGGAAAAGCGCTCGTAGGTTGTATTGTCAAGAAATTTATGAATTTCTAATGTGCTTTTATTTTTTGCAGAATATTTGGAAGAACAATATTCTGAGAAAAGGACTCTAGTTTCATAGTATTTTCCCCTGGGTCCTTAATTTTTTTTTTTTTATAAATAGAGTACCAGGAAAAAAATATAGCACAGCACAATGGAGCCTGAAAATGGGCTCAGGAGGCATCCAGCCCCAGCATCCTGGTACAACTCTTCACTCAATGGAGGCACACAGCACGAGGCTAAGCGCTGCTTCCAAGCCTGTCTTGTAGCTGTGGTTAGATGAATCGCTTAGCCTCCCCGCTCCTCAGTTTCCATTTCTGTGGAACAGGATGCTACCACTTTACATCTCTTTCATGAAGAATAAGATTCTGGATAAAGTACTAAAGATATTTTAGACTTCTTAAGTATCAACTTATTACTAAGTAGTGGTTTGGGCACTGGTTATAGTGATAAATGCTTTTATTTTGACCCTTTAATATCTGTGCTATCTGTGCTCTGCACTTTTATTAAGGAAAAGCTACGCCAACTACGAGACAACATTATAGGGAAACGGCCCGAAGATGAAAATGCCTGTGGTGAGTGACAGTTGCCTGCTACTCAAAAACTGTGAGTGTGATAAGGTAGAAAATGTAGGGACGGCAAATCCAGACAGATTTCAGTTCAAATCCACACACCTTCTCCCTTCCCACTCTCTGGCTGGAGACTCAGTCTCCCCGGTTGCTTCTCTGCCAAGCGGGCTTATTCACACAACCATCCAAGAGGGCCTCTACTGACTGATATTGACCAACCAATGCTCAACTACTTCCATTTGATGTCTATTCAACTTATGAATAAGATTACCTTGTTCCAGTGTATTTTCATTGTTCATTTTGTGGGCAATATACAATCATTGTCCATTATACATCCAAAGAGGTAGGCCATTCCTAGTGCATTCAAGCTCACAACTGTCCACATGTGAATTGTTTTACATTCTCTGTCTCCAGGTGGCCTTTCCTCACAACGGTTCCTGGCAGGGCAGCTTTCCCTTGCTGAGAGTTAGGAGTTGTCCTGAAAAAATGACTAGGGTTAAAGGCCAATGCCATTAAGATGGCAGATCGTCTCTAAAGATGAATGATATATTCCAAAATTGAAAGTAAATTGTATTATTGCTATATGGCCATTAAACCCCCATCTCCCCACTGTAAGTACATATTCCATACCTTTGGGTTGTACATCCTGTGGAGATTCACTGTGGGAAGTTTATTCTCCTTCTATTATTGTGTTGCTATCTGTTTCCCACAGAGAATTCTTTAAGCTTTTCTATAAATGTGTTCTGAACTATAAATATGCTTTTTAACATAACTAATATCATGAGCAAGGGACTGATTTACACATAACTGAGATCTACAAACTTGGATTATTATGTGGAAAAATACCATTTTAACAACTAATAAATTATAAATTCTAAAAATAATTTTATTAAAAATATGTAAACTATTATCTATCATATCTAAAGAGCACATATTAAATCCTAATGCTTCTTACAATGGTAGATGTCATTCATAATCTATAAATTAAAAAATAGGATTTGAGAAACTGGAAACAAACACATAAGAATCTACGACACATCTAGTTTTGAGTTCAAAAATCAGCACCAGTATTTTAATAACAAATCAGTTATCTCTTCAGTCCCAGTGGAACGAACAGTAGTGGCCATGCACTCCAATTATAAGATACTAATAGTCATCAAAGACGAGCAAGTGACTTTGCCAAGTGGATAGTAAGGTGGTGAAGACCGTACTGTCCACGGTAAGCAGACTCATGCAGTGAATCTAACCATTGCTCACCTATCTGCCAAAGGAGCATTTCCTGACTGTGAGGGCGAGGCAACTCAGTCCCGGGGCGAGAACATGGAGAGCCTGGCCGAGGCAACTGAAGCCACTGCGGTGTGCTAGAACGGGACGAGAGTGGGCTCAGAATCACACAGGAGGAACTTAGTCTGTGCCTGAGAGATGAACTGAGTGAGTGTATACAAGAAGCATAAGCTCGTAACTTCAAGGGCACTGGAAACAGAAAGCAGAGGCCAGAGAGGGGTTGAGTGAGCTAGGCCAAGGCCTACAGGGGAAATCTTTGTTCCTGTCTTGCCAGAGTGGAATCATTCTAACACTTCTTGAAACCTGCAATGCCGGCTGTACTAAGATCCTAACTCAGAGTAACCTCTACTCATGATATACCTGGCAAGATCTCAAACCAAACTATAACATCCCTGGGAGAAACATAGCTGGTACCTCAGGCCTTCTGAAACACTTTGGAGTTGGTGAATACTGAAAAACAACAATCAAACCTAGAGAAGCTCATGTCAGAATTTGAACTGCCTACTAAAACAAAATCCTACACAGAACCCCCAGTATGCAAGAGATGTGATGCTCAACATTCCAGCCAAAAAGTGATTAAAATTGCATAAAAATAAACAGGAATCCCTAGTGAATGGAAAAAAGTAGCTATCAATGGTAAGAAGCTAGCAATCCCTGTTAACTTTGTAGAAGAGGCCATTAAAGCATCTCCTATAAGCATACTGAATTCATGCAAAAGACAGCTCTAGGGGGATAAATATATCATGAGAAAATTCAAAATTAATTGAAATAGCCAAGTGGAAATTACAGAAACCAACATTAAAATATAAGAAACAGTTTATAGATTATAAAGTCAGTGTATCACATATTACTGAACATGAAGATGGATGAACATGATTTGTCCAATATTAGGAGAAAAGATGAGTGATATATAGAGGAAAATCTTAAGGATATTCGCTAATATCTCGTCAGAATCCACAGAGAGTTAAAGACTATATGGTACTATCTTCAAAGAGCTGAAATTAGAGGAGAAGTGCGTTTCCAGAGAAAATAGCCTTGAAACTTTTGCTGAAATAATGATGATTTTACATAAATGGAGCCAGAGGATTTCAGAAAAATTGCAAGGTAATAAACATTAAAGAATTCCATATAGGGAGAAAGAAATAGTAACAGAAATAAATTCAGATCCACATTGAGGAGATAAAAACACATGAAATCATATAAATGAGGTACCTATAGGCTATTATATTTTCTATGTTTTGATAAATTATTTTAATGACAAATATTTACAGCAAGATCAGCACATAAGTTGAAGGTTAGCATATGCGAAGGAGAAAGACATTTAAACAATACCAGTTAGAACAGAGGCTACAGTTAACTGGAAGTGGGTAAAATTTTATACATGATAAAACGAAACATTTAGAATGTGAAGTCTCAATTAAAGCACAAGAGGAAGGCAGTAAAATAGGAAGTATGAAGAGAAGTGTGCAGCAGAAAACAAAGAGGGCTCTACTATCTCAAAGTAGATTGAGAACCTGAATTTGCATATTTTATATAAACTTAAAAATAAGGGACTAGACAGATGGCTCAAGGAGCGCTTGCTGCTCTTGCAGAGGACCTGAAAGCCACCCACAGGGCTTCCCAGCACCCATATGGTGACTCACAACAATCTCTACTAGGGGTTCTGTCTCCCTCTTCTGACCTGTATGAGAACTGCATGCATTTATTGCATACGCAGACAAACACACATAAAATAACAAAAAAAGTAAACCTAGGAAATCAATAGAGAAAATTAGTTGCAGTATTAAAAAACATTTAATTTTAAAGAATAAACCAGGAAAATTGCAAAACTGTTACATATACAAAATAGATAAGCAAAACTGCAAGAAAACAAAATAGCAGTGGTAGGAAAATTGAGTACTATCAATAATTGTGTTCAGTATTAATTGATTAAACACTTAATTTTAAAATAATGTTTTTGCTAGAAAAAAAGAATCCCTAAATTTAGGCAGTCTACAAAATATATATTTTAAATAAAGCTAGCTAGAAAATGAAGGTCTACCTCCATGCAGAGGCACAGTACGAGACAGCTGTACTGGCCATGTTGATACACGACAAAATAATCTAAAGATAAAACCCATGGCAGGAGATAAAAGAAAGCATTAGATAGGAATAAAGTTCAGCGGGATGACATGACAGCCTAGATGTCTTTTATGTTACACATGCACCTATAAGTTTTATCATGGCCAATGGAGCAAAATGGCAGCACTCAGAAATGTCCTCACAAGTTTCTCAGTAGTTAACTGAACGTATGATAAAAATCAATAAAGATACAGAGGCCTGAATCACAACTAATTCAACCAATTTGACATTTACTGACTACGCATAAGAACACTGAGCTCACAGGCTTGTGTAAGATGTGCTTGGCTGGCTATGAAGATGGAGCATGTGCTAAGTCACAGAAAAGCTTCAATATGGTCCAGAAGATCAAAAAGATAAGAGAATTCCCCCTAAGTGCTGCAGATTCATTCCAAAACATTTAAGAACCAAAATACAGTTTCAAAAATAATCAAAAAGGATCACAGAGAATTATTTTGAAATGAAAGCTATTGTAGACAAGATACCAAACTTGTAGTTTAAAACAAAATTCAATTAACAGATAAATTAGAGGGAAATGTATGACCATCAAAGTAAAAAGAATATACTTATTTCTATGTGACTTTTACGCAATTGTTAGTAAATAAAAAATGAGTAGGGAGCTAGAAGAAGATAAAATATAAACAAAGCTAACTTAACTAAACAAGGTTTCATGGGACTGCCAGGAAAGAATATAAATAGGAAAAGCAAAGGATTCTGAAGCTTGAAGTAAACAAAAACAGTGGCAGACTGCATATCACCATGCTCTCTGCCACGACGACAGGGGACTGAACCTGCGAAACGGGAACTGAGAGCCTAAACTAAAATGGGAACACATCACAACCCTCAGTGAGAGCCCCGGAGAGAGTATGAGAGTCATTGACCGAAAATCCACAGCTACTACACTGTCAAAGCTGAAGCTGGAGCTGGGCTCGGACAGCCACAGCATCGGTCAGGGGCAGGTGGCCCTCTTTGGCCTCCAGGACGATTGCCTGGACAGTATCACCCGAAAGGCTGTGTAAGCAGCTATTACCAATCTGCTTCCACAACTGAAGTCGCATGCCAGCCTTGCATCCGGGAGTGACACAGCTGATCCCGAAGACTTGGATGTCAAAGACGAACTCAAGGGTTCATCTTCAAATCAAACTATCCGAGGACCTCAGGCCGTCACTGAGGATTCTGTGGCTACCTTGCGGGTGAACACGCTCAGCTCCACGCTATCCCACAATTCCTAGAGCTCTTACAGTCTCTGAAAGTGCAGCTTGTAAGGATGAAAATAGAAGTTAAGAGATTAGTTGAAGAGTTAGTTCATGAAGAGAAAGAGTTACAAGCACTCCTTCATCAAGCTATTGAAGGAAAAGATCAAGAAATTAAACCCCTGAAACTAAGTCCTAGTGGAGAGATAGCGCTGGGTTTCCCATGCATCATCTGAACTGTCCTGGCACCGCCACTGAAGATGCTGAATGTACTGGCTGACTGAGAGAAAACCGAGCTGATGCAGATACTATAAGTCAGTTTCTTCAGTTTCTGGCTGAAGATTACACACTAGTGGTTGTTCTCTACTGTGTTACACGTGATGATTTAAAGGGCTCCAGCCTAACGGGACGAATGAGGTGCACACTGTGGAAAAGCAACTTGACTTTCAGAACAAACGCACCTCACTGCCTAACTGAACCTTCAGTGGAGAGTCTGAATATTAATATAGGACTGATCTCCTTGGGGGAGGAGAAAGAAGCTGAACTTTAATTACAGAGTTTCTTTACTCATGAAAAAAAAAACACACAACACTCTAAAATTTCCTAAATTTTCCCAACGTCTAGTCTACAAAATTCCTAAGGACTCTTTGTAAAAGTCTTTCAAAATCATCCTAGTTAGAATCCTAATGTCAAGGATTGTTTCAGTCTGTACATTTTGATGGAGATGTTTTTAAGTCAGCAGCTATTGCATTTCAGCCAGATGTTTACCATGGAACAGACATAACATTTTGTGTGAGAGTGTACCTCGGGTACAAAATCAAAGCGTGACCACAACTTTGTAGGATTCTCTCTGTATGTGACATGCCCTGAGCATCTGAGAAGACGTGCATAATTTGGATGGTTGTATAAAGTTTTCTTTTCGGGGGGACGCATGTAAGAGTTCATATTTACTGTGTGTTCTAACCTAAGTGTCTGGCCTGAGTGTGCTTGCTGGAGGTGTTCATGTACTACTGAACTGCACCAGTTGTACATGTCTGGACCATAGTGGAGTTAGGTTGTCCTAAAGCTACACATTGTGTTGTGTTTACTCAGAAAGCAAAAAGATTGCCTACATGCTACTTTGATAAAGTCCAGAAAACTCTGTTTAAAAATGGTAAATAGAATGTGCTTTACTCTAGTCTGTAGGTTCATCTCTCCACATAGCTGTTATATAACAATTTCAAAGTGCCAGATATTCTAGGATTGATCTAAAAAATACATACACTACAAACAATGGCAGGTTCCTACTGTCAAAGACGGGAGTAACAGCCAAATTAAAAGAAGGCTGAAAAGAACCTCATAAGGGGCCAATGAATTCAAAGGCAAATGACAACAAACCATGCTGCTAATGCATACATTTCAGAGGAGTAAGTATAGAAATAAACACAATCAGATATTTACATCTAATTCTGTCTGCTGAGAGATCTAAGAGCAACGACAGCTCAGCTCTTGCAAACAGACCTAACACCCAGATCTTAATTAACAAAAGCAAATGGTCAATGATTGTGTAAAAGATGCCTGACATCATTAATATTCCGGAAAAGACAAAATCAGTCTCAATGAGATGCCAGTGAACAACTGTTGTGAACAACTTTTATGAACATGACTTTAAAAAGGCTGCCAGACCAACCTGATGGAAGGTCGAAGTGTGGAATGGCTCTGAAAAGGTCGGATATACGCTTAGTCTGTGATCTGGTGGTTTCAACCCAGGATTTTTTTAGTTATAAGTAAAACCTTGTATCCACCAAAATACCTATTCACAGAGTCTATGGAAGTTTGATTCATCATAGCTGGAAACAGTCAGAATGTCAATAGATGTAATTACATTGTGCCTGTGTGGTGTCTGGTCTTATGTCAACTTGGCACACAAACTAGAAGTGTCTGAAAGGAGGAAATCTTAAATGAGAAAATGCCTCCATAAGATACGGCTGGAAGGCATTTTCTTAATTAGTGACCGATGGGGGAGGGGGGAGGACCCAACCCATGGTGGATGGTAGCATCTCTGGATTGGTGGTCCTGGGTTCTATAAAAGCAGGTTGAACAAGCCATAGGAAGCAAGTCAGTAAGCAGCATCCACCATGGCCTCTCCATCAGTTTCTGCCTCTAGGATCCTGCTGTTTCAGTACTTCCTGTCCTGGCTTCCTTCAGTGGTGCACAGCAATATGGGAGTGTGAGCCAAATAAACCTTTTTCTCCCCAACTTGCTTTTTGGTCATGGTGTTTCATCACAACACTAGAAACCCTAATGAAAACAGCCTGGATTTATGCTGTAATACCACCTAAGCAGTAAAACTAAATTCCTCTATGTACAATATAAATCAATTCCAGCCAGGGTGCTGAGTGAAAGATACCGGACACAAAGCAAACCATGCTTAAGATTCAATTTAGCTGGTGTCTTAGTTAAGGCTTCTATTGCTTTGACAAGACACCATGACCACAACAACTCTTAGAAAAGAAAGCTGGCTTATAGTTTGAGCGGTTTACTCCATTGTCATGGCAGGAAGCATGGTGGTAAGCAGGCATGGTCCTGGAGAGGCAGCTGAGAGATCTACATCTGAATCTTCAGGCAGCAGAAAGAGAGAATGAGCCACTAGGGCCTGACTTGAGCTTCTGAGACCTCAAAGCCTATCACACTTTTTCCAACAAAGTCACACCTACTCTAGCAATGCCACACCTCCAATAATGCTGTTCCCTATGATTCTATGGGGGCCAATTTATTTAAACTAGCTGGTTTTCTAGAGTAAAATAATACAGTCAACATTAATCTCTAGAGGTGTATAGCAGATCAGCAAAGGCCGTGAGGAATAGCATTCTGATTAGGATGAAGAAGGGTTCTGAGTGTATATCTGTGGTGAGAAAACCTGCTGGGACTGGTAGGCACACAGTTATTGGGTTTGTTTTTATAAACCATCAGCTTGTAGACTCACTTAGAAATGCTTAAACTGTATGATATGCAATAATTTCTGAAAACCAGATGTCTAAAAATGAATGGAGTAGTTCAGGCTAAAGGGATATCAATGCACAGATGCAGGATTCCAGCAGTTGTCAATAAAATGTCAAACCATAACACCCCTGGACAAATCAGGAAAACAGATGTAATGAGGCTCGGGTTACCACATTATCCAGAGAGAGGATTAGTGCTTTCAGTCTCCTCGGAAACAGTCATAGAACAATAAAAAGGTCCCTTGGGAAAAATATTAAACCAACCTCACAGAATATGGTTTTTTGTCTTGTAGATAAACTCACCATTGTGCACCATCCAAGTGGTAAGTGTTAAATATTAAATTAAGGGTTTTGTGGGCTGGTTTGCTAAGTGCATTTTTTGAGACAACAGATAATTGAGTCTTGTTTTTAAATGCAATGCATTTAAATTTAAACGCTAATGACATGTTAGAAAGTTGAGACATTTTTCATTTAAAGTTATTGTTGAGAGGGGCTCGCTCTTTGCTATTCTTTTGGTTAGATTAGAGTCTTGCTTTCCCTCCTATTGTGTTAGTATTGGGGGTCTCCTGGTTAGCTATGTTATACAGCATTGATCCCTTACCACCTCATCTTTGTGTGTTTTTCTCATGGCATGAACTCTTTCCTGTCTTCACATGGACGAATCAGTATCAGTTTTCTCATATGTAAAATGTAACTGAGAAATGTACGTGAGAATTTGTTATAAAGAATGATAATGGCTTATGGAACTGGAGTCTGATAGTTGGCAATGGAAGTCATTGGTCGGGGAAATTAAATTTGTGCAACACTCAACTGAGTGTTTCATATGATGTAATAAAAAGAGGAATATTTGAAAAATGTTGGGAGGGAAAAGAAAAGTTAGAAGCCAGATAGAGACCTATGGAACCAGTCTAAACCGGTAACTGCGAGAGGGATAAGCAATAGGATTACAGCGTGTGGCTGAATGAAAATGGGGGGGTGGTCTCATGGTAACATTCGGGGAGCAGTGTAGTTGCCAGTGGGGAGCCTAGAAACTGTGGTTTGCAACTAACCAGTTCTGACAAACGGTGAAAGAAAATAAAAGGGTTTAATGAAATAGAGGTTGTTAATACTAGGGTTTGAAAATTTATGTCTAAACAGACCAGACTCCTCAATGTACTCCTCAATATACTGTATGAATATAATATTCAGCTCATCTAGTACACTTGTAATATGTCCTTGTTACCCATTTAGTTTAATTTTCTATTTACTCACATCACAGGTTTCATATTATTTTCATGGTAAATAAATAAATTATTATGTTATTAACTGAAGAAATAATCAAAGTCTATATTTATAGGTAATACTGCTCACAATGATATATTGTACAGTAGCCCCTTCAACAATAAGGTAAGTTCTGTTCATTTTAATCATTTTTTAATACAAAGGAAGACTTTCTCTGCTGAGGAATATAAATATTTCCCATCTTATCTGTTCTTTGAGCCAATATGAATCAGAAAAAAATAGATAATTTTTTATATATTTAAAACCCATGAGAAGTGTTGGTCAGTGGTACCACACACCTTAATCCCAGCACTGGGAGGCAGAGGCACAAGATCTCTGTGAGTTTGAGGCCAGCCTGGTCTATGGAGCTAGTTTCAGGATGGCCAAGGATACACAGAAAAACTGGCTCAAGAAAATCTATGAGTAGAAGCATAAGGAAATTTATTGTTTAGAAAAAATAAAGATGGAACTCTTAGGTGGACAAAACCAAGTATAGCTGGATTCAGTGTGTCCATAAAACACAAATGTTAAAGAAATTGTGAGCACATCAGATTTAACAATAAAAATGGAATGAGAATTTTATTCAGGAAGTGTAGTCCTTAAGGTCAATGTATAGGAAATATATAGCCCCAAAGTATTGATTTTCCAAGTATGCAGCATTTCACATCAGTGGTAGGAAAATGCTAAGAGCATAAGATCATTAAGCCTGGAGAGATTAACTGAAAATCAAGACACTTCAAGACATCATAGTTAGCGTCCCGACCACAAATACTTTATGAAAACCACATTATTTCACCTTCCTGCTCATGTGGCATGGGAAGTGTGTGCTGTTATCAAGAGTGACGTTGCCTTTTAATTTCTTGCTGAAATAAAGGATTAAAGTCATTAACAAGTTCCTAATGAAATCATTTTAATTTTCCAAAGTTGTAGTAACCCTTTCAGTTCTCCTGTTTCAGATAAGAAATATTTTTATCATAAAAGTCTTTCATGCTTCAAGAATAACTTGAAGTGCTTGCATTTCTGGATCTCGTGACCCATTGTAGAGTATGCTATAGACTCTCTGCTCATTGGAGGGCAGGATTGCAGACGGCAGTGAAGCACAAGCATTTATAAAAACACTTTGTCACAAGTCAGTGCTGGTGCACGCCTTTAATTCCAGGATTTGGGGAAGGATTTCTATGAGTTCAGGGCTAGCCTCATCTACAGAGCAAGTTCCAGGATAACCAAGGCTACATAGAGAAATTCTGTCTCAAAAAATAAAAACTGTATCAAACAAAGATCCTTATTCAAAATCTGAAGGACAAAAAAAATTATTCACACACACACACTTTAAGGCTATACTTTTGTGTTTTAAGTATACTTAAAATATAAAGTTTTTATGTTTTCTTTTTGAAATCCATTTGTTAAGGCTTGAAAAATTTTGGATAAGTGTAAGTTTTTTGTTGCTTAGCTGTTTCCGCTTAAAACTGAAGCAAACTTTGAGCCAGGTATGATGCATTGGACTGTAATCCCAGCATTGGGGAAGGGGAGGAAAGGAGCAAGTCCAAGGTCAGCCTAGAGGACACAGGGAGACCCTGCATCTGAAGAAATCAAATCCTAAGACTGTAGTGGAGCTGAGCTTCAGTGTGACTGTTTCCCTTTAAGATACAGAACTGTCTACACGTTACCTTTACAGAGCTGTTTTTTTTCCCCAGAATTATGAAAGGCAACTATGCTTTATAATGTTTCCTTTTGAACCTTAAAATGAAAAAGTCTTAGCTCTGTATCATTTTTTATTATTAATTTTTTAGTTTCCTGCTCGACTCCAAGTTGAAAAAGAATTTGGATTCTCCTGCAAGAAAGATCACTAAAGAAGGTAAAATAGTAGTTGTCTCTTAGGAAACCTAACCATGTTTATAGTTGACTATGTCATGGATTTCAATCAATCATTTAAAGAGTCTTTATTTCATTGTCTTCTCTTGAAAGCATAAAGAAACTTGTTTTGTTTTGTTTTAAACTAAAGGAAAATGTTTCTTTGACAGATTTATAGATGTAATCTTCAGCTTGGAGATAAATGCGCTTTAATGAATCATCACCCCTAATCCATTTCCTGTGATCTTATTTTCAGATTATTACCTTTAAACTCAAGAACTGGCAAACATTCTGATATCTGGATGAAGCAAGGCTGCCGGTGGAGTACCTGATCTCTAGGACTGATCTACATGTAGAAGAAGGCGTGTGGCTTTGGATTCCAGACTATGTTATCATCACAATTTATTAGGACTAAATGGAGACTGATAGCATGCTCTGAAAATCCATTCGTTTTGCTACTGAAGCACCTAGTTTTCCTGTCTTGAAAACTAAAGACAAAAAAAACAGACAAGTTAAATGCAGTCTAGCAAAATTATGGAGCCAAACTATATCAATTATTCTTCCTACTCTTTGTCCCCTTCAACTAAAATCTTATTTTGTATTTGTCCTTTCAATGACAGTCCACTGTCTGCCTTTCTCACATTTAGAGCATAATGTTCTTGTTTCATCTTATTTCCAGATAGCTTCCATTATTTAGTGCCAGCGTGCATGTGCCTTTGAAATGTACTTTTATTTACATTTTCCTCCATTGATGTTTTGCCTTTTCAATGCTAACCAAGCACCCTGCCACTGAGCCATTCTTCAGCGCTCTACACTGTTTTCTGACGTCATATCAATGTTACCAATTAATGGTGTACAGCCTGATATTTCAGAACAGGCATCACACATTGGTTGTGTTCATCCTGTCCTCTACTAGAAGGACATCTTCCCATGCTCCCTCTCCCTGAGTTCTTACTGTCTTTCTCTCAAATTAAAAACCATTTTTACAGCATATGTTGTTTCTTACTAAGAGCCAGGAGCCATGGTCCACCTGTTCCTCAGAAGTGGTTCACCAGCTCAGACTGGAGTGCAGGTTAACAAGACCCCGATCCTTGTGCACAGTGCCACCAGCACACTGCGTGCTTACAACTACTGCTGACTCTCTAAAACAAGTTTACTGGGATTAACAACTAAATTCTCTTGTCTGTCACCTTAACAATCAAGCAAAGTGTGGCTGATTTCAGAAGATGGAAATGTTGTAAGAAAACAAGTACAAATGATTGCTTTCCTAGTTTCCAAACAGTGATAGGAATATCTATCTAAGACATTTCCAAATAGTGTATAGAAGTTCTATCAACTCCTAATAGAAGGTGCTTCTGATTATGACGTGTTAGTAATGGAAGATGTTGTACAAACATTTCTGTCTTTGTCTCTGTAGGGTATCTCAGCCAAAGATTTAGGGAAAACAATAGAAAATATTGATATATTTTCCTGATCCATTAAATTTATCATCTTTACACAATATCTCCCACAACAAGTTAAATTTATCATCTTTACACAACATCTCCCACAACAATCTATGGTCAAAGCCCACAGTTAAATCACTGGCTTTATTCTTATTTAAAATGTGAAATTCAGTGATATATAAAGTGACAACTTTGATATTTATAACACATTAATTTACTTCTCTGAGATTCAATTATATGCCAGAGAGAAAGCATGGATTTAACTTGAGTCTTAATGATAAAATTGAATGATCGGCACTCTTAAGTACTCCCCTGATGAACTGGGCTGGCATAGACTGAAGATAACCGAGGTGGCATCTTCTCGTACACTCTGTGGCATTTGAAATATGACTTGTTCATCAAGACAAAGACACATAGCAGATTAAAGTCAGAAATAACTGCCCTTTTCCATAAAGTCCCTTTGCTGTGCCTTCTGTCCTTGACCCAGCAGGGCTTGTCCAGTATGGAGATAGTTAGAGAAGGGAGTGTTGGACTGTCTTCTTCCTACATTTTGCATGAAATTAACAGATTAAAAGCTAAGACAAGATGGAGGTGGAAGGATACACTGAATGTTTGGATGTACGAGCTTATACTCTCACCAGCAATGGAGGAGTGCTCGCCTTGCTCCACATCCTCTCCAGCATGAGCTGTCACTTGTGTTTGATCTCAGCCATTCTGGCAGGTATTAGATGGAATCTCAGAGTCGTTTTGACTTGCATTTCCTTGATGGCTAAGGATGTTGAACATTTCATTAAGTGCTTCTCAGACATTTGAGATTCCTCTGTACCCCATTTTTAATTGGATTATTTGGTCTGTCGATGTTTGGTTTCTTGAGTTCTTTATATATTTTGGCTTCCATGGAACTGACCTAGGACCTTTGCACATATGTTACAGTTGGGTAGCTTAATCTTCTTGTGGGACTCCTAAGAGTAGGAAAAGTCTCTGACTCTTTTGCCTGCTTTTGGGACCCTTTTCCTCATTCTGGGTTGCCTAATCCAGCCTTAATATAAGGGAGGTGCCTAGGCTTACTGCAACTTGCTATATTATGATTGGCTGATACACATGCGCCTGCACTTATCTGAAGACAAGGGAGGAGGCGTGGGTTAGGAAGAGGGGGGACGAGGAGAAGAGAAGGGAGGGAGGACAAACTGGTCAGGCTTGAAAAATAATATTAATTAATTAATTAATTAATTTTAAAAAGTAGGGATGATCTGACTGAAAGGATAAAGAGTACACCGGATGCTCTAAATTAAGTTCAGTGAATCCTTCCACAGAGTGGAGAGGGAACAGAGTTTATTTTTTAAAAATGCAATCAAAGCCATTTATTCTTGAAACCATCACTTCCCTTCACTCAGACAGAGCTATCCTGAGATGGAACTGGCACTTGATAAGATGCCACACAAATAAAAATATTTATTTTTAATATTTAAAAATAAAAAAGAGCAAGTAAAGTGGATGGGGTGCAGTCCCCTTAGGATATAGGTGGCAAAATATAGGAAAATCTAACAAAAGAGTTCCGGCCTTGCTGTTGTGGTCGCACCAAATAGCTTCAGCTGCCTTAATGTATTTAATGTAAAAATGAAGGTGCAAGAGAGGTGGAGAGAGGAAGTGGGTGTGATCAAAGCAAAGTACGTGTGTGAAACCGTCAGACTTCCAGCTGCAAGAAGGCTCATCAAAGTGATGTCACTGCACAAGAATGGGGACCTGAGTCCAGGTCCCATGGAAAAGTCGGGTACCGTAGTGCTCCCTGGGAAAACAGGGGCAGGAGGACCTTGGAGATTCCTGGCCAGCTAGTCTTACCTATTTGGTGAGCTCCCACTTCAGCAAGAAACCCTGTTCTAGAAAATAAGGTAGAACATTACAGAGAAGACACCTGACATTGACCTCTGGCCTGCACACACACAGGCCCTGCATACTTACACACCCACAGACACAGGCAATAAATAAATCAGATATAATGAAACCCATGACACTGGACAACTTACATATGCTGAGTTTTAAAAAGAATCTTCTCCAAGCCTATTATGACGGTTAATCTTTTCCTACGTTTCTTTCAGTTGGCAGAAAGCATGTACTATTGAAGATGTACAGTGTTCTGATAACTGCTCATGTTTATAGACACCAGTGTGGTCACCTCTGCGTCTACACACAGATCACTTCTATCACTCGAGAACCTTCTATCATGCCCCCTCATTTGTTACCCTTACCTAAGCTGAACATTATCTTTTAGTTTTTATTAAATCTGTTCTTTGACAATTTATGCATGTATATAATGTGTTCTGCTTACACATATTCTCAGCCCTCTCCCATCCCTCCTCTCTCTTGCCTATAAAGCCCTTTCTCATACCCACATCATTTTTTTTTTCGCTTTGTTACTCGCTAGCTTTAACAAGGGCTATATCTGTGACCAGAGGTTTAGAACTTTCCATTAGATCCTAGTGGACCTACTTGCAGGTGCACAATTGAAGACTATGAATGCCTCTTCCCAAGAATCCAGCAGCGGCCAATAGCTTAGAAGAGAAAGGTATGTCTCCAAGAGTCCCACCCCATCCCATGCCATGCCCACTCTTATAAAGGACAGTGTCTCACCACAGCTGCTGTGAAACCATCTTAACAACTGCTGTGTCATGCCCAGAAGACAACATTTTTACTTCCCTTAATCTCACCCTTGTATTCTTTCTGTCTTCTCTTCCATGATGCTCACTGAGTTTTAGAAGGCAAAATATTAATGTCTTGTTTAGGGCTTAACTGTTAATGTAATGGGTAATTTTGCTTGTCAATTTGTTTGGCTTGAGAGAGATGCCTAGGAGATTAGTAAAAATACATCTGTGGGTATGTCTGGGATATGATTCTATAGATGATGAGATCATGAGGACTCTGATATTGTCTATGGTTTAATCCGCTGAGTAGACAGTCAGCATGAATGATAGACTATGGAATATGGGGCCTGGCTTTAGTGTGATGCTGAGGACATTCCTTTACTATAACCCTCTGCTTCTTAGGCACCATGAGGCAAGTAACTTGCTTTCTCTCTAGCACAGCTGCTATCCTGATGTTCTGCCTCATCATGGGTCCTGACACACAGTAACAGTGATCATGTACTGGAGCCTCTAAATGTGTCAGCCAGTAGCCCCTTCCTCCTTTATCTTGATTTTCTTACATACATTTCACAGCAAAAAGAGTGACCAGCACACTGATCTTCTCGGGCAGGCCTCTTTTGATGTCTATGCCGAGTGCTCTTTCCCTCCCTGTTTTGCTCCTAGCATAAATCACTGTCTCACTGTCTAGTATAGATTATTTTTTATTGTCTGTCTCCATCACAAGAATATAGCTTCATCCATCTTTTTTTTACTGTTTTTACCTCTATTCTTTAATTGGTGAATGCATGAAAAAACAAAATGAACGAATTGATAAAAAGAATGAATATTCTTATCATTATAAATATACATTTTTAAAGTTAAAATATATGCAATATAATTTTAGTACTGCATTAACTATAATAGAAGAGTAAACTCCATGTAAATATTTGACAAAGGGGCTTTAGATATTAATTAAATCATGTACCCCTTATTCAGTAGATGGTTTTGTGGTAGACATTTCTGTGTGCCTCACTGTTATTTAAGTGAAAGAAACAGCTGTTAAAGAAATGAGCATACCAGTGTCCCAAATGCTAATACCTACTATAGCAAAATTAAAACGAGAAAGTATGGGAAAGTGAGAAAATATAACACTCAACACAATCTCATTAGGCAACAAATGTAGATTCTGTTCATGTTGTGTGTGACATATAACACATTATGGTATGAACATCTAATAAGTCTACTGGCAATCATGACAGTAGAAAATTGATAGAAAACTAGGGATATTTATCTGCTAGAAAAAAATGGACAAAATGGAAAAGAAGTGTAATCTTGAACAGAAGACACTAAGAATTTTTGGAGATATACATATTGCTGATGCTGTCTCCTGGCAGAGCATCCAAGCTGCATGAAAGATTCTGTAGGTAGGCTGAAACTTTGAGCAGAGGATGTCTTTTCTTACATCACTGGGTATATGTTCAACTTCCCTATATTTTCTTCTCTAAACTATCTAAATTTCTGAGCAGAAAAAAGTACTCAGATCCTACTAAAATAAACAGATCTATAATCTACCTTTCATTTATGTTTAAGGTCATCTATTAGAATGCCTATGGTTTGTATTTTAATATCAAGTTCTCCTTTCCATTCATTTTGCGAAGTTCCAATTATTTTTTCAAGGACTTATGCAAATTAAAATCTCGATGGAAGTGAAATGACCACCCAACTTTCAAATGATTAATAGTTATCATTTGTAAATTATTTTCCTTCCATTTTCAGCAGCCAATAATTAACTTGTAAGGAAGGAAAAATCCAATCTAACTTGCTTAAGAATTTGGGGATTTATACTCAGAAGTTATCTATTGACCTTTGGTAACATGTCACCATAACATCTATAACACTTGATGACATATTAGTTATGTCACCATAAC